AAAAAAAAAAAAAAAAAAAAAAAATGCGAGAGTTTTAAGGAATTCGGGGCCAGAGTTATATATATACATATATATGAATATAAATTTATGTATAAATAAATCTCTATATATATTATATATATATTTTACTACCGAAGAGAAATTTATATTCGAAATTTCTACGTTCGTTGTCGATGCGATTGTGGCTCACATTCCTCGCCAACGGATCCTAGATTTTAAAGAAATAAAAAAAAAATGAAATGTCACTAGGGACCGAAGGCGCGTGTATGATTAGAAACTGGTCTTAAGATCGTATTTTTACTAAAGACTCACACACGAGATAGAAAGTATGAAAAAATTCTTATCATGAGTGAATCAATGTATGTATACATGTGTGTATGAATATGTGAGAATGTGTGTGTGCAAGAGTAAGAGAGAGAAAGACAAATAGAAGTCTGCGAAAATGAAAAGTGCATTAGCAGCAAGAGATTTATAAATGAAAAAAAAAAAAAAGTTGTATTTGGCTATTTGTATACTGTGATCTCCGTGAAGTTTTTATCATAAAAATGCATAAAAAACAATTGTGTACATAATTTTCATGAGAGAACAATTTATATTAGTGATAAATATATTAAAATACACATACACAAATTGTGTTCTTAAACAACCCAAATTTTGATCATAAGATTTGATATTTCTCTGTACACACTTTAATACATTTAATGGGTGATTGTATTTAAAAATTATTTATTCGTAAGTATTAGACTTGCGTATCAATCTATAGAAGTTATACACATGTGTTACATGAAAAAATTGATGTTTAAAAAAAAAAATAAGTCCTACAAAACAAAAAGTTTTAATTTTAATTACCATTTTGGTTTATCATATATCTATAGAAATTTACATGTGTATCATGCATGTAATGTAGAATTTTTAAAACCATCACATCATCAAGAATTTTATTTCCTAGCATTTACAAACTTCCTTTCCGATCAAAAAAAAAAAAAAAGTTTATATTTAATTTTTGTTTACAAATCCTGTATAAACTTGTACAATTTTAGAAAATTAACAAATTGTTTATTGTATAATTCATTGCAAGTGAATGAGCAATGTGTAAATAAAGATTTATTTACTTATTAAGCTAATTTTAAATATTAATTTATTATCCCTCATCAGGAAAGAAACATTATAAAATAATATTACAATTCAGATTTCTGAACATCATCTAATCATACGTATTTTTTATAATTAATAAATAAATAAAATATTCTTGTAAATTTTATATGAAAATATTTAAAAATAAAAGTATATACTTTCAGTATATCAAATATATTTTCATATAAAATTAATTTTATTTATTTATATTTTATTTATATTTTAATAAAAACAATTATATATTATTACATATTAATATTATATATAATTACATTACATTTATAAAATTTAATTATTATGAAAAAATATTACATCATCTGCTATCACTGCAGTACTTGATTTAATAACACCTTCTTCATCTTTGTATTCTCCATAACTTATTTTTCCTGAAACTAATACTCTTTGACCCTTCTTTAAATAAGTATACACATTTTCACGTAAATTTGGTTTAAAAACACATATTTTATGCCAATCTGTTCGTTGTACAACATCTCCTGAAATGTTTTTTATACATATTATATTCACATATATTAAAATTATTTATAATTTCAAATATATATTACAGTATAATTTTTAATAGTTTATAGTTTTTATAGTTTTAAATCTAATTAAAATCTATATTATAGTATAATTTTATTGTAATAGTTCAGATATAAATCTCATAATTCAATATCATATAATTATTTATTTTGTCAAATTTCTTTAGCAATTATAAATACAAGAACGTATTAATTTAAAAATTTAAATAAATATTGTAATTGAAACAGTATTTTGAAAATATTATAAAATAATTATAAGAATATTAAAAAATAAAAAAAAATCAATTTATAAATTATGAAATCAATTAATATTACATACCATTTATATATTTGTAGTTATTATGTGTGGCAAGAGAAAAAATAACAACAGGATGTTCATTACTACCCTTTTTCTGTGCCTCGCCTCCTACTCTTCCTAATAAAGTAACTTGATTTATAGCTGTAATTTATATGATTAATATTGAATTAAAATTTATATTATTTTTGATAATAATTTTTAAATTTTTAATATATACAATTGATAAAAATTGTAACAAGAAATATAAAATAACAGTATTTATGTAATATTTATTTGATTTGATTTAATATTATTTTTAAATAATTTTAAGAATAAAAACATTTTTGTTACATTTTAAAATTATAAATTTATAAATTCTAATAAAATAAGGACTTGGATTAACCAATTGCCATATTATTTTAATAATAAAAGTAATTTTAAAAAAGTAGCTAAGAATAAAATTGAGTAAAGATTCAGTGCATATATATGTAATAATGTATATGTAAATAAATATTACAAAATATGTTAAATTATAATTATTATTAAATTGTAATTATTAATAATATTTTAAAATTTAATTTTATACGTTTTTAATACTATTTTAACATCAAATATTAAATTTGAAAAATATTTGCAAGAAAATGATAAATAAAAATTATTTTTCTATTGAAATTTAAGTAATAAGTAATATTATTACTTAAAAATAGTACTATTATTAAATATTAAAAAAAAATATTTAGCTTATATAATCTTGACAATTCATAATTCATAATAATTCATAATAAATATAAAATATGCGTATATATATTTTTTTTAACATATAATTTCAAAATATATTTAAGTATAAATAAATATAATTGAATAATTGAATTTGGAAATTATTATATATATATTTTTCAACACTTCAGAATTGAAGTACATACTTAAATGTAAAATACTTAATGTATCATTAAATTCTTAATAAAATTATTTGCAATATTATATTGTTTTAAATTACAAAAAAAACTCAAGTAACATAATAATATATAAGAATTTCATATACAAATTTGATAACTTTTTTATTAATTTATTTCTGATTTTTTATTAATTTAAATCTGAATTTGTAATCTTATTATATTATATAGTAAATAATAATATAATAAAACAGGTAAAAATAAAATAAAAATAAATATAAAATAAATTTAATCTATTAATAGCATGCATAATAATTAAATTTAGTTTCAGATTAGTTTAAGATTTGATAAAAATATTCTTATTTTATTTTTATTTTTACTCTTCAATCTAAATTTTTTCTAAATCCTTATACATTTCTTTTCCTATTATATATTATTTATGTTTAAATTTATTTTATAAGTAACTACAAATAAAAACAAGTGAATTTATATTAAACGAAAAAGAATAAGAAGAATATAAAAATACAAATATTTAATTATAAATAAAAATGTGTAGGATAATATGAATTAGTAATTATTAATGTAGTAATAGTTTAAATATTTCATATAAAAAAACAAACAAAGTAGAAATAAAAATATTTTTTTAAAAACAAAAAAGATTACTTGTTATCTAGATTAATATAATTTATATATCATTAAATATACCAAATATTTTTATTTTTTTAGCAATTAATTTATATAGTAAAACTAAAATTTATTAACCACAATATAATGAATTTATAACATGTCTATCTGTAAATAACAAATTGATTTATTTAATATACACATAATCTGTTTAAAAAATAATATCTTTTTTTAATTTTACATAATTTGGTTATAATTTAATGGAATAATTTAACATGAAAAATGAAAAATAAAACAATAATTCTACTTATTTAAAATATATTTAAAATATTGTATATTACTAGAAAATAAATATTTTTTTCATAATTAAGAAAAGTTGTTTATAGCTTTTTCATATTTTAAATATTTTTAATACAAAACTAAACAAATACTGTATGTAATTTATGTACTATAATTTATATACTAATTTATATACTATATGTAATTTATATTTATATTTTATATTTAAATAAGAGATATATATGAAATGTTAAAATAATTAAAATAAAAAATTAAAATAATTTTCTAACCTTAAAGTCAAAAATTTAAAATTATTATATATTTTTTATTGATATGATTGTTCATTAAAATTATAAAATTTTTTTACTTACATTTTTCTAATTTCATATTAGAATCAATGTCAGTAGAAGTTTGAATGCTTCTAATTGAACAACTATTTTTAATCATTTGCGAAATAACCTAAAAATGATAAAATATATTTAATTTTGTAGATCAATTTATAAAAATTTGTTTTTATAATATTTTTAACTTACTTGCCGAAACATTTTTATTTATTTGTTTTAAAATCAATAAAATATTAATAGGAATCTAAAACAAATATAATATTTTTAAAAAAACTACACTATGCATTCCAAATAGATCCAGACATGCTAACAATAGAAAAAAAAATTATATGATTTTTGAAATTATATATTTAGTAAAAAATTCAAATATATTAATTATTTATATTATTTTTTATAGATATAATGAATGTTTTTTAAAATAGAATTTAAATTAGGTATGTTGTTATTTTACCAAATTATAAATAATAAATTTTGAAAACTTTAAAATACATTATTTATTATTACATATTAATAATACTTATTTTATATATTTTTATTTTATTTTATTTTATATTTTATATATTTTTTCATGAATTTTTTTTTATTGATAATATTATATAATTTAATTTAAATTATATATAGATATTAATATATAAATTATTACAATTATGTTATGATATGTCGTGATATTTTATGATTTATATATATACTATTGTTTAAGGTGAATATTTAGATTTGAAAATTTTTTTTTATTTAATTAAATTGATTTTGTAAATATTATTTAAAAAAATAGAAATTAAAATTAAATTTAATGAAAATATAATTTTTTTCTAAAATTAGAATTAAATTATGGTAAAGTGATTAATATATTTTATATTAAATTTTATTTTATATAAAATGATTTATATTAAGAAAAATGTCAATTATTTCTTATATTATATGTTAATATTTTCATTGCAATCAGATTTAGCATATAAATGTAACAATATTTAATAATTTATTTAATTTTCATATATAAATATTTGTTTTTTATTATAATTATAAAATAATAATTATAGACGGAAAAAATCAATATTAATAATAATTATTATGGAATATGGATACATACATGTTACATATAAATTAATACAAATTAAAAATTTAGTAAATACAAAAATTTGAAAAAAAAATAAAAACTTAAAATTAAAATATTTACAATCGAATTCGATTAAATTCTATTAATTCATGAAATCCATTCTTTTTCTATTAAAATTTTCTAAAAAATTCTGTAATAAAGAAAATTTCATCTTATCTTTATGATAATAATGAATAAAATTGTTAAGATTTTAAAATGAATTCAAATATTATTTAAATTGAACTAATTTTATTAATCTAATTTGATTCAATATTATTTAACAAATTTTAATCTGTCATATTCATTAATAAATAGTTCTTATAGAATTTTTCATTCTAAATATGAAGTATAATTGTTTCATTTTCGGTTTTTAATAAATATGAAATTTTTTAAAAATATAAGATTCAAAATAAAAATAAAATATACAAAAACTAAGAATATCAATTATAATGAAGAATCAATTTTTTTTTATTTTGATTAATTATAAAAAGCTATTAAAATTTAGAAAAGAACTGATATA